CTCAAGCCAAATTAAGCCCAGGGGGGCTCACATAGGACTCTTCAGTAGTTGGAGGAGGGTGTTAACGGAAAGGAGAGAGGGGAATAAGAAACAGTGTGCTTTAACCATGAGGAGATCAGTGGTAACAAAATAACCTACCTTGCACTGAGAAGCACAAGATGTACATGCCTCTAACCTGTCCCCATTTTTTGACCTTCAGTGCATCTTAATCCTTGCCGCTGTTTCACTTTTATTGTTTGTTATTTACATCATAAATGCTGAACTAAGAAGAAGTCACATTCTTCAAGAGGGCATTGGAGTGCTGATTTTTTAAATAATTCTGCTGGAAGTTGCAGGCTTGATGCGACCTGAGCCTGAAGTCCTCTCTAAACCCATCAGGACAAGTACAGAACGGGTCGTGGCACTGCAAGTGTCCTCCAGACTGCCCTGCCAGCATCTTAACCTTGGTTAAGGAAGCTCCCAGCCAGGGTGGAGGGCGGGGGGGAAAGGGAAGAAGAGGGGAGGGAAGATCAGTCTTTGGCTCAATTCAGGCCCGGAGTTCTCTGCTGAGACTGTCAAGGAGGCTGCTAGTTAGTGCTAATTGTGGTGGTGTTTTCGGGTGAATGGACAACTGTATACAGAGAACTGGGCTGACAGTTCCAAGCTCGGTTGGCATAGCCCACGAGATGCTGATACCTTTGTTACGGCTGGACTCAGTCAAAGGGGCATCCGTCAGGGTAGAGGCTCTGTATCCTACCCTGGTCCCCCAAGCCACCCACTTACCCAGGCCTCATTTCAAGCTTCCTGTGCTGCTATTTTCCTCATGTCCCTGATTTTGGGGTCATTGCCCCCTGCTGGAGCTTGGTGCCACATGTTCTACCAACCTGGGAAACTACTGTAGGCAGGGGATAGCCAAGAGATTCTCCTTGCAGGTGGTGGGACAAATGCAGCTTTCAAGAGGAGCTTTGAAATTCTCAGTCTCATGACAGATCTGGCTTAAAACCAGAGGCAGCTGGAGGAAGGGTAACAGGGCAGTTAACAACTAGAGAACATTTGTGAAAAGAATTACATCCAAAAGTGGAGGAAATAGTAAGTAATAAGGGCCCAGAGGTCACCATTCGGGCCTTCAATCATCTCCTCCAGCAAGGCTAACAGCAAAAGCAGCAGGAAGCGTTCCACTCCGCTGAAAACGTGAAACTGGAGGAAGAAGTAACACAGAACAACAGAAGCTGAGAAAGGGATTTTAGATCCACTGTTCTGAGCCCAGCACCTGGCGCATGAAACTTAATCTAGAGAAATGCAGGAAGCACTAAGGGTCTTTAAAGAGGGCCATGGGAGAAGAGTAGAAGCTTCCTTAAAAGACTGTCTAAAGCAATAAAACCCAGAAATAAAGAATGGGAGCAGTGGAGGGGAAAGCGGGTCTGGAAGTTATTTGGGAATTATTTACCTTTCTGCTCAG